GCTCTCTTCCGGTCACCGGGGGCGTCCCTGGCGCCGAGTGGGACTGGCCGGCCTCTGTTCTTAGCCTCGCCGAAGGGGCGCTCGCCGCCGGTTGGTATGGAGCTGCCCTGGGTTTGGGGTAGAAATCAGAGCGCCTGCGCTTGGGTTCAGCCCCTCGTCAGCCCCCTTTGTGTCACCGAGGTGGGAGCAGAAACACCCAAAGATATGTGCGCGGGGGTCGGAGATCGCACCCGCATTAGCGGCAGAATTTGGCCTAAGCCCCATGTTGTAGGAGAAAGAATATCCCAACACCACATACCTCTTCTTTGTGAGGCTCTATTGGCGGAGCGTGTGTGCACCCCTCGTGTTTCTGTTCCCTTGAATCTTGTTCATTAAAGCAGGTCCGGCTGGTGCTGGGCGGTCCTCGAGCCCTGCTCTGCCCCTCACAGCGCCCGCAATGTGCGCAGGCTTTGAGAGCGCACATTCCCTGTTTCCAGTTTTACTTGAGATGAGCTTGCTTTTCTTTTTTAAATATATTTTATTGATTTTTTACAGAGAGGAAGGGGTAGGGATGGAGAGTAAGAAACATTGATGAGAGAGAAAAGTCCATCAGCTGCCTCTTGCACATCTCCTACTGGGGATGTGCCCGCAACCCAGGTACATGCCCTTGACCGGAATCGAACCTGGGACCCTTCAGTCCGCAGGCCGACGCTCTATCCACTGAGCAAAACCGGTTAGGGTGGGCATGCTTTTCTTAAATGTTTTCGTCTTTCCCGGCTTTGACTCCTGGCCTTCCTTCACAGAAGCCCTCCTGAGAACCTGGTTGCCAGCCAGGACTCGTTTAAAGAACTTTTATGTGTTCCTTTCCCTATATTTTCATGAGGGAGACAGAGTAGTCGGGTGTCAAGGCTTAGAAGATAATTCTACTGGGGGTTAATTGGGGGAGGGGGGGATGAGGACACATTTGTAATACCTTAACTAATAAAAAAAAATAATAACAAAAAAAAAGAAGATAATTCTACTGGCAGTGCCAGGGAGAGGTCTAGTTTTCTTCCCTTCAAGAATAGTGCCGTCTTAGGTAGAAGAGAAATTGGGCCCCATCCCGTGTGCTCAGTGCACAGAGCCTTGGCCCACGGACTGAAGGGTTACGGTTGGATTCCGGTCAAGGGTATGTACCTCGGTTGCAGGCTTGTGGCAACCAGTCAATGTTTCTCTCTCTCGTCTCTCCCTTCCACTCTCTCTAGAAATCAATGGAAAAATAAGTTATTTTATTTAAAAAAGAGAAATTGGCCCAAACCGGTTTGGCTCAGTCAATAGAGCATCGGCCTGCAGACCGAAGGGTCCCAGGTTCAATTCCGGTCAAGGGCATGTACCTTGGTTGTGGGCACATCCCCAGTAAGAGATGTGCAGGAGGCAGCTGATGGATGTTTCTCTCTCATCGATGTTTCTAACTATCTCTCTCCCTTCCTCTCTGTAAAAAATAAATAAAATATATTTTTTTTAAAAAGAGAAATTGGTAGAAATAAGGAGAAATTCGCTTAAGTTTTTAATAATTTTTTATTGATTTCAGAGAAGAAGGGAGAGAGAAACATAAATGATTAAAGAATCATTGATTTGCTGCCTCCTGCACGCCCCCTACTGGGAATCGAGCCCATAACCTGAGCATCAAGCTCACAACCCGAGCATGTGCCCTTGACTAGAATCGAACCCGGGACCCTTCAGTCTGCAGGCTGATGCTCTATCCATTGAGCCAAACCGGCTAGGGCTCGCTTAAATTTTTAACACAACTTAGTTACACAAATACAGTCTTAAAAAAGACTCAGATATTCCAGCTAAAGCTAAATCCCTTTGATACCATCTGCAACCTCTCCCTCTGGAGGTGGATACCTGTTATCAGTGCAGTGTGCAGCCTCCAAGGCCTTTCCCTCTACTCTTACATACAGACCATGGCTCTTGGAACTTGTAGGTACTGTTCTTTTATAAATGGTAAAATTTTACACAATTAAATTGTTTGGAACTTGCCCTTTTGGGGGATAACTAATAATTATGTAGCATTTTCCATATCTGTATCATTGCTGTTGCTCAGTGGTTAGAGCATTCGATAGTGGGTGTTGTTTAGCTATAATGATGGACATATAAGTTGCCGTTTCAGTTCCACAGAGAAAGACTTTATTTCTCAATAACTGACTCTACTCTTGACCATCTGTCCTGTATGGTAGGTTTTTTCCCATCCATTTCGAACAGTACGCATTTTAACATCTCTTGGGCCTCTGTCATATGTAAGCACTGTGTTCTGTACTGGGATTGCAGAGATGGGACGACCCTGTCCTTTCCTTTGGAGAAATCAGACTGTCGGGAAACAAATTCTGTATTTTAATGGTTTCATGTAGTTAAAAACCCATTGAATGGCCCTAGCCTGTTTGCTCAGTGGTTAGAGTGCCGGTCCTTTGACCAAAGGGTCCATGTTTGATTCCCGGTCAAGGACACATACCTCGGCTGCAGGCTCAATCCTCAGGCGCATGAGGGAGGCAACCAATCCGTGTGTCTGTCTCACATATGTTTCTCTCTCTGTGTCTCTCCCCTTTCCTTCCACTCTTCTCTAAAAATCAATGGAGAAATATCCTCAGGTGAGGATTAACAACAACAAAACGATTGAATGGCTGCAAATTGGGAGACCTGGAAAGGTAGCTTCCCCTGCCCCTAAGTGAGCTCTCAGCCCAGAACGCCCTTGGTGGGAGCACAGCTTTCCTGAGCAAGGGCTTTGACCTGTGTGTGTCTGTCCCCTGGGAGGTGCAGCAGGTGCAAGTGCTCTGGGGAGTCACCTGTTTTGTTCTCTGACTAGAGAGGAGAAAAGCGTTTGTAAAAAAAATAGGGAAATGTTTCATGTAAAACACCTGATTTAGGTTGACCAAAGCAGCTGAATCCACTGGTTCTTGCCCAGAATAACTTGTTAATAACATTTGTGGCCTACATCCCTTCCCCATAATGTTCAGAAATCTAAGGGAAGTTGCTGTCCTGCAGGACCTGTGCCAAACTGACAGGAGTAAAATGAACTCAGTTAGCAAGGACATACGCATACGTTATTAACCATGCCCGTCACATAATGGGCTGAGGGTCATACTGTTCAGGGCAAACATCCTCCTGGTCCAGATTTTAAAAAATTAGCTGTCACCAGGCAGCTTCATGCTTAGGTTTACATCTAACAAATGTAGACATGTGTTCACCAAGAGACGAACAGTTTTATTTATTTTTTTTAAATATTTTTTATTGATTTTTTACAGAGAGGAAGGGAGAGAGATAGAGAGTTAGAAACATCGATGAGAGAGAAACATCGATTAGCCGCCTCCTGCACATCTCCCACTGGGGAAGTGCCCGCAACCCAGGTACATGCCCTTGACCGGAATCGAACCTGGGACCTTTCAGTCCGCAGGCCGACGCTCTATCCACTGAGCCAAACCGGTTTCGGCGAACAGTTTTATTTTAACGGCTGGAAATTGAATACTAATGCCCACCAACAGTTGGATGGATAAAAAAGTTTTGGTAGATTCACACCATGGAATTGTACATAGCAATGAAAATGAATGGTCTGCTATGACACATGACAACCTAAGTGAATGCACAAACATAATATTGAATGAAAGCCAGGAGCCAACAAGTACATATTTTATGTTTCACTTCTCTAAAGTTTAAAAACAGGCAAAATGAAGCTGTAGCAATAGAAACTGGGATAGTATTTACTTTGTGGGGAGGGAGTGTTTAGAAGCGATTGGACAGTTAGGTTGTTCCTTTTTGCTATTATAAAATTATAATAGACATCTTTATGACACATGTTTATGCAAATCAATCCATTATCATCTACTTAAGATAAATCCCTAGAAGTGAAAATGCAGGCTTAAATTCATCTTTTTAAGCATTTTATACACACTGCCAAGTTGCTCTCCAGAAAGCCTTGCCAATATGCAGTGAATGACAGCCCCTGTATCTTTAACACTGGAAAGTCTTGGTATTATGAATTTGATAGGATATGGGGTGGGGAATGAGGAGTCAAGGATTGGGAACATTTT